TTTGATTTCGTTACAAGGCCCTTACATTTTGAGCTGCTTGTGTTAAATTGCGAAACAACTGTGGATTACATTGAGTAACCAGCCTAAGTGGGAAACAGAGAACAACAGGGATTCTGCTTTATTATAAGGTTAGCTGTATAGCAGATTTCAAAGGTTAAGAGACTTTAAGTTCAACCTTTGTTTTACTATGTTTTTTTCACATTACTCAGGAACAAGACAGTCTTTTCTCTACTAAACTTCCGAACGGTCAGTGTTTGTCTGTTTAAAATAGCCAATTTACAGCGGGTGACGTTTGCCAGCGCGACGCGACAACTGTGTTCTGCGTTGTCGCCTGTCAATCGATCCATTGAAATATTGGATATAATATGAGTACAGCAACTGCACGGCCAATGCATAATTCCTTATTTTTGCATTTCTAATGAGAGTGTTGTTCCTCGTTCAGCCAGTAATGATGAAAAGAGTGTATATGACAAAAAAAAAATTCTTGATTGCTGAGTGTTTTAAGCTTATGTTGCAGTTTTTAACTTATTTCCTAATTTGTCGTCATGGTACTAGCTGTATTTCTCGTCGTTTTTGACGTTTTATGCACCTCAGTACTTATTCATAAGAAAATTAGGTTTGACGATTAGAGAAAACAAGAAAACACTTCTGTCTTTAAAAATTGGTTGTCTTTTTACTGCGCTTTACTTATTGTGAGTCTTCAGGTTTGCGAATTTTGGTGTGGCGAACTATCCGCTTAAAGGAAATCAGTTATTTTCGAAGGCGTTTTGCTGCATTTTTCTTTTTTTCTATTTTTTACTTGCGTTTTATAGAACAGGCGCAGAAATGATTCTTCGAAGGCTTGTTAATGTTATGTTTGCCGATAATACGTGTTTATTGTTGGTTATCTCAGAGTTTTTCGAACATTTTTGTATCGTCGATATGTTATAGAAAAACTTATGCAGTATCAATTTGAATTATTTAAATAGCTCTGTAGCTCGTTGTTTTAGCCAGTTGTTTTGCGCATTTTCTTTTGTGCCAGTTGGGTTTAATCCAAATATTAAGCACGAAGTTGACATTGCAGGGTCTATTATAGCCGAATATAACAAACACACTGTTCTACTACCAGGATAGCATACTGGCTTCGTCTTAAAAGTCACCACGCGGTGGAAAGTTCCAGCTTTGGAACAATCTTGTAGTGTTTCAAGGAAAAATAGGTGCGTTGTCTATCATGAGTTGTTTTTACTTAGTCCGTTTAAGTTCTGACGTTAGACCTTGGAAGTTGTCATTTCGGAAGATTTTTCGGAACAGGTTTGGGAAGGAAGCATTTTTTTACCGAAAATACAGTGACAAGTAGGGTGTTGCTTTATAATTACTTGAATAGATCTTTTTAAGTATTTGTACAAATGATTTATTTATTTCCATTTTTTTGGAAGAAGAGGAAGGAACGATTATCGCTTTTTACAGGGGTCCTGTAGTTTTGAATGACATAAAGCAACGTTTATCTAAGGTATTGAGTGGTCATACAACCGCAGCATCAGGGACTTTACTTACTATTCAAAGTACCGAGTTTTTTTTTGGTTTTATGTAGCCGTTATTTCATTTTTGCCTTTGATTGAAATTCCGCTTTTTGGTGGGTTCACTTTTTTTAGGTTTTTTAGTTAGAGTTCAAGTTTAAAGAGAGAGGTAGAGGAGATGTGCTTAGCATTTTTCTTCTTTTTTATAATTTTCTTCGTTCATCGGGTTGGATGATTTTTTGTCGTCAAAAATGACTGGCAACTAGTCTTGTATAGCTTAATAGACTTATGGCGTTGTACAACTTTCGTCTGAAAGTTATATATTTCCCCAGCAATTTGAG